CAGAAAAAATTAGTTCAGAGAAAATTCATATCACAGAGAAATTTGGTTCAGAGAAATTCTGGATTTTCCAAAGAAATTTTAAAAATTTTTCTGATTTGAGAAAGGAAGGGAACATTAGAAATGAATGGTTGAGAAGTTAGGTCAAAATTCACGAAGTCTTTGCATCTGAAATCTGAATAGATGAGGGTTTCTGTGCTGTGAGGAGTTTGTTTCTCGGCCAAATCCCCCAAACCCAAGTAGCGATCTGTCTCTGAACCCACTCGTCGCTTTCTTGAGCTCTCTGTAGGAGAATCGATGTGGGCCGATATTGACCTCCCAATCTTCAACTATGTCCGCGTTCTTGATCTTTATGATGAGATAAAACGCGATTCCAATTGCACATACAATGACAGCAGCAGTAGATACAGAAACCCCAGTGATTAAGGCCTTGTTGTGGTTCTTTTCCCAAATAGAAGGAAGTGAAGATAAATTGAGAGACTGAGCTTGTCCATTGATCTTGAAGCTCCACCCTTGTATGTAATGATAGCTTGCAAGCTGCCCTGTAGAAGTAGAGAAGCCCACGTACATGGCGTCGTAGTCGTAGTCTTCGAAAATCCGAGAGAGATTGATCGGATATGACAAAATTGGAGATTTGGGTTTTGTCGAAGAGAGTGAAAGCGTGACATTCACTTCTTTTCTGGTGGAGTCGTAGTCGATCCAAGCCTGAATTGTTTTCCCACTCATGAGATTTAATTCTTTTGGGGCCGAATTGCCTTGGACAAAGCAGCTAGCATTAACAGACGCATTCGATGTTAAGCCATTGATGTCGATACCAACATGATTGTTACTGATGTCTTTGTAGTCGATGTCTTGTACGGTGTTGAATTCGACAGCAAACAAATGGTTAGAGAACTTGCCATTGTTGGTCTCATTGAAAAGACCCAAGTACCGACCCGAAAGAGCTCCGTGAAAATCATTTGTGGGAGAGATGGTAAAAGCCAAACCATGGCCACCAGTGCCTGTGAATTTTGGAATGATAGCGAAAGCAAAGGCGGTAGAGAAAGAGAAAACAGTTCCTCTGGTTGTGGAGTTCTTGAACTTGATAGGAGTTGGATAGAACGCGTGATCGATCAACCCGTTAGAGTCGTTGGTCAGCTTGAGGACGCCATTCTTCTCAATTTCTGCAGCATCGGTTAGGGTTAGGTTATTCTTGTCAAGTGTCTTAAACCCTTGAGATGGGGAGTGGTGGTGGTGGTGGTTGTTTTTGTTGGTGGTGGTCCATTGACGTGTGAGCAGAAAAGAGAGAGAGAGGAGAGACAAAGTCAATTTTCTCTGATATATGTTTAGGGATCTTAGACATCAAAAAATAATTTTGTGGATCTCTTCCATTACGAAAAGTGGAAGAGGGACCCTAGACCGATTTTCCCTTAAAAATATCATTAGAGACTCACTGGAATGTGCAAAATATTGCCCAGAAAAAAAAAAGAATAAATGGAGAAATTAGAGCGAAAAAACATAGCAAAATATGCTAAATATTAATAAACTAAAAGAAAAAAAAATGTAACGATAAAAAACAGAGTAATTCTATTTCCATACACTACTTTCTCTCTTTCCAGACACTTAATAATTTTTTTTGTATTACATTTTGGTCTTAAAATTAAATTACCAAAATATCCCTTTTTATTTGAAAAATCTTGTAGCTCGGCCATTGGAGTTGCTTTTAAGCGTTTGAGACATTATTCCCATCTTCACTGACTTTGTTATAGGGTAATTTATAAGCACCCAGTATAATTATGAAAATAAATTTAATTGTGAAGAAAAAATCATGCAAGTCAGGCTATGAGCACTGAAAATTTTTCTTTTTTGGGCCCAAGAAATGGTCCAGTTTTTGGAAAAGATGAAACAATTTTCGAGAAAATTAGTCAACCTCAGTAAAAATTCTCAAAAACTATTTTCGCAAACGGCCGATGCTTAACAAGCGTGGATCTTACTCTTGAGACGTACAACCTCGGATCTGGACGAAAATTACCCCTTGCTTGAAGAGAGCTACATGGCAACGGAAAGTTGCCCCTTGTTTGCACGGCACCGCAGCGCATTGAATGGCAACGGAAAGTTGCCCCTTGTCTGAATAGCACCGTAGTGTATTGTAATCAGTCCTCAGAGCGATGATTGCAACCGAACTCCCGGATACAGAAAAGACAAAGATGACTAGAATCATCACATGGACACAGTTGAATTTGAAGTGTTTTATGGCTGGACTTCAGAATGAAGTTGCCTACGTATCCCAAAGATAGGAATCAAGCCTTACGTAGTTCGGGGTTAAGGTACACTCGGGTATTTAACCTCTCCTTTTTAGGCTCTAACTTTTGCCAAGGCGCCCGATGCGGGTTTTCGACCTTGCGAGCTTCTTTTCATTTTTCTTTTTTCTTTTCTTTTCTTTTCTTTCTTTCTTTCTTTTTTTGATTTTCTTTTCTTTTCTTTATTTTATTTTTTTTCTTTTCTTTTCTTTTCTTTTTGTATATTTTTGCTTTTGTATTTTTCTCTTGCTCACTTTTGCCTGGGCCGCCTTTTCGGGTTTTCGGCCCAGCAAGCCTCTCAAAGGGTAAAAGTGTAGTTTGGTCCATGCCAAATGGTTGTAGGGTTTCGAAGCCATCTGTATCCAGGAGAGTGGCTGTTGATTTGCAAGAGGACTCATCTTCAGCTCTTCGAGCATGTCTGATATCTTTGCCCCTAGTTCGAGGGGTACTTCTATTCTAGCTTTGCAAGCTTCTTCTGATCTTCTGATCTATTTGATCTGACTTTCCTGGCCTCTTGTTCGAGGGCTGCTTCAAATCTGGCCACTCAGGCCTCACATCGTAGTTGACCGTTGAACCTTCTGAATTCAAGTTCAAGGTTTGGAAGCGAAGGAGTTGAGTCTCGAGGCTGAGAGCGATCCTAGGCTGCACAATCTCAAGAGCGATTCCACACAAGTCTTCGCAGGACCGCGCAAAACATTTTGTTTTTGAAAATTTTTAAGAAAGCGACAAATCGCTCGCGCTGAAGATAGTGTGAAACCAGTCTGGATCAAGCCAGGGTCCTTCTCAGTGCTCACGCTAACAAGCATGATTTCATTCATTAAGGGCTTAGCACGCCTCTCTTTCTCTCAAATGATCAAAGTTTTACAAATCCCGAGGAATTCCTCCTTCTTCGTTTTCACCACAGTGTTCAAAAAGGTTTTGAAAAGCTTAGGTCATTACAATGACTTCAAGGCACAGAAAAGACAGAGTTCTTTAGTCAAATACTATCGTCTCATTCAGAACTTCCGGCATAACTGGCACAAGGCAGAAGCAAATACAAGAGTGCGAAAATCACTGCTGTTTCATTGAGATCTGTTGGCACAACTGGCTCCCTGGCAGAAACAGGCTCAAAAGAAAGCAAAAAGACAAACACAAAATAAGCAAGTGATGTCTGAGGTAACACCCCTGGAATCACCTGACTCTAACAAAACAGGACTGACTCGATACAACAAGACAGACCATATACAAAACAACAAAACTGACCCAATACCTAAGTCAGAAAGTACAAAAACTAGTGTTCGCAAATGCTCACAGCGGTGCGTGCCAAACGCCACATCTGGAGTAAACTGAGTGCTGCTCGCAGGTGGTTCACCCCCCTGATCACACATTCGTACTATCCCCCAAGTTCACTGATCCGGTGGTGATAGACTTTGCTGAGCTGGTGCGGCAATGACCTTGTTGTCAAACAAATCCTGTACATCATGGCGCAGACGAAAGCAGCTATCGGTCTCATGACCGGTTTGTTGGTGGTACGCACAGTACTTAGTCTGGTCATGCTTTGCAGGGATAGGATCGGGTAGGGGCCGTTGTTCCAACGGTTTCAGATGTCCTTTCCGGAGTAAGACCTCTAGAGCCTTTGACAAAGGCATATGGAGTGGGGTGAAAACCCTCTTGACTCGAGGTGGATATTTGGTTTTTTGTGAGCTACTTCCGGATGCACCGGTGAATGGGGTAGCTGTTTTTGATGCAGTGGTGGTAACCATGCCTACTTCAGAAGATCTTGAACCTGCATCACCACTGGTGGTCGCATTCGAACTGCGGGAAAACGCCCTCCTAGGCTGCTCCTTCTCCTGGTCAATGAGGTCCTGCTTCATAGCATCCTCAATTTGTACCCCCATTTCATGTAGATCTGAAAAGGTAGGAAAGGGGAGTACAATCATCTTCTGCATTAGCTTCGGCTGAAGATTGCGCACAATCATCCGAATCTGGTCCTTGTCCGTGGGCCTTAAGGTCATCATCGAGGCCTTAGCCCGCCATCTGGCTACAAATTCTGAAAAGTTCTCCCTGGGTTCTTGCCTCGTTGTCTCGAGATCCCGGGTTGTGATCTCGATTTGCGTATTGTATGAGTACTGCAAGATGAAGGCCTCAGCCATCTCGTCCCAACTTCTCTTGACGTCATCCTCCAATTTGGCATACCATGTGGCCGCTACACCCGACAGGGTTCGGCCAAATAAAGACAGCTTCTGCAGTCTAGTGAGGCCCATTGGCCTTAGGATGTCTGAAAACAGTCGTAGGTGCACCATAGGATCCCCGGATCCGTCAAAACGATCAATTTGTGGCATCTTAAATCGGTCTGGCAGCGTCACGGTTGCGTCAGTGTACCCGTCTCCAATGTCCGGGATAGACTTCACGCCTTGAGATTTCTTAAACAGCTTTTCAAGCTTGCTCATTTTTAATGCCATGGGGTCCACCTCGGACTCGAAGGGAGAATTTGATTGATTGATAGGAGTGGGTGCTTTGGATAGTTGAGGCGGGATCGGGGGCGGAGCAGGCCCCGTTGGAAGGTCAGTATCCTCCTGAACATTCCGGGTATTTGGTGTTTCTTCGGGTATCGGAACCCTTAGTGGAGGAGGGACTTGTTGTGAAGCTGACGCCCCAGTTTGCTGCTGCAATCTCACGATTAAATCCGCTTGTTCGCTCACAACCGTGGCTTGCTGTTTGGCGAACTCTGCCTGCCTAACAGCATCCTGCTGCATCATTTTCATACTGTCTTGGAGTTGGCGCACCATCTCCTCTAAGCTAGCCATACTATTCTGCTCTGATTGGGTTACCGATATACCTGTCTCTGCGGTAAAAGCAGATATCTCAACCCAACTGCGCACAGGTGAGATGGATAATGACCGCTGATTCGAAGACTGTCGAACTGATGATCTGTGCCTGACTGGCGTTTTTACCCTGCCTCTGGTGAAGGAACACTGATTGCCCTTGAACTGAATCTCTGACCTGACAAAGTCTATCAGCATAAGCCCAATGTACCTGGGGGGTAGTGGAGCCTTCTGAAGCTATAGTTCCAGGACTACCTAGCAAAAGAGAAAACAGCATCTCAGCTCAATTTCACTGGAACGGATATGAGCATAGCGGAACGACTGTACTCAATACTGATAACTGTTTCCCAAATATCTGCCTGTAAACTGATACCCTCGGGTAAAACTGATTCCCCAAATACTAATGCTGATGCCCACAGGCCTGATACCCAGACTTGCAAACTGATACATGCATTCCCTGTAGAGACACACTCGTCGAGTGGTCAAAAGGGTGCCCGGTAAAACCGGGGTTTGTGTTCCCATCTGTCAGAGCCCATACCGGTCACCTTATGGACATGCTTGACAAGACAAGCCTCCGGCAAACCGTTCAGGAATGGCAGATGGCAAACACGTGTTCCTAGGCGCACCAATGCACATGCAATGCAAAGAAACACATAAATGAATCAAAACAGGATATCACGAGTTCGAGTCAAGCTCTCTAAAATCCCAGCAGAGTCGCCAGAAACTGTACACCGTCCGCGAGGGGCTCGCTGCTACAGTTCGGACTCGCGATTTTTGTTGTCGCGGTTCTTAATCTGAACCAAAGAGTCCAAATCTGGCAAATCGTTTTGAGAAACAGATTTTTGAAAAAGTAGTGCCAAACATGGACTGCTTTGCCAGATACAGAGTCGCCACCTAAATATTTTAAAATGGGGGAATTTAGGAAACCCTGACTCGGTGCCGAAGGCCACATGTCCGTCATCACCGGAGTTGTCTCGGCTCGGGAGCTTGGGGACGATCGGGGAAGGTCAGCTATGAGCACCCCCTTTCGCCCGGTCCGAAGACCGGCCTCTACTAACCATGATATCTAATTTTGAAAAC